AAAGGATCGCCGGAGCTCAGCAGGTCGAGGCTGCGGTGGCCAGGAGCGGCCACTGCACTCCAGTCTGGGCGATAGAGTAAAACTCCAACTCAAAAAAAAAACACACACACAAAACAGTAATCGTAATAGCTGCCACCGCTTGTTGAAGGTTCATTATTTCCAGAGTGTTTTACGTATGTTCTCATTCAGTCCTGAGACACTTAGGATGGAGTCACTGTCCCACTTGTCAAACGAGGCCATGAATGCTTGGAAAAGTTAATCTGCCTTGGATCACATGGCTAGGTAGGGGCAGGGCTGGGACATGACTCTCACCTGGCCTCAGAGCTCAGCCATCACTGGACTGTCTCCAAGTAGCCAGTGCGCTCTGTGACCCTGTGTGAAGCAGGAAGGTTCCCCTAGTCTCATTCCTCTACCTGGGTGTTCTTTTGCTGCTATGGCATAGAATTGCTGTGGCCTGTTTTCTGCAGGTTGTGTCCCTCTCCTTAGCCTCTGCCATTTACAGGGATATGTCTTTGTCTCGCTCTCACAGTGTACTTGGACCCTGTTGCCTCTTGAACTGGTAGTTTACACCTCGGCCCACCACACACAGCCATGAAACTGGCAGGGTTTCTTGGAGGGCACAAGGGACAAAAGTCCTGCTTTGTGAAACATGGATATGAGCTGCTGTGGCGTCATCATTTAAGAGGGTATCTCTGAAGCCCAGAGTAACTTTTTTCAAGCACAGAAGCAGTGTTCACGTTTGGCAGCACTTTTCTGCCGTATCTTGCGGCTGTGGGAGGTGCCTGTGCTCCCTTGCAGACTTGCCTTCCCCTTCCCAACTCCTGCAGAGCCTGCGGAGAATGAGATGCCTTGGAGCAGAGGGGTGGCAGTGGGTCTCCTGGCGTCAGAGCTGCAGGGGAAGGCGTCTGAATGCAAGACCCTTAAACCCTTGTGCTCAGAGAAGGAGCAAAATACTGTTTTGAGGCTTTCTGTGATTTTTTTTTTTTTTCTTGTAAGAGGTTTACTGTTGAGGTTTTCTGTGATTTTTTTTTCTTGTAAGAGGAAAATGGCTTTTTAATGCTAACAGTCATACTTGGAACTTGTGTCGAATCTTTCATCTTCAGAGCTGACTGTCTCTCCATGCAAAACCTCCTGCTAAGATGCTTGTGACTCTGGCCATGCGGACCCTGTGGACCAGTGAGAGGCCCACCCTGGAGGGGAGCTGCAGGGGAGCCCCCAGGCCTCGCCTCGCCTGTTATTGTGCCACCTTGGCACGTCCTGTTTTTATTTCCCTAGTCTCATCCTTCTCTACCTGTACCCTGCCCCCTTTCGCGGGTGTAGTTGTGAGAAGGAGTGTGAGTCCTGGATCAGATGTGGAGTGGGGAGAATCTGCTTGCAGGTCCTAGAGTTTGTGAACTTCTTTAAGCCTGCTCAGTTTTGTTTCTTTAAGAGTCATCCCGGGGCTGTCTGCTGAGGAGGACTCTTCCTCCCTCCAGAGGAGTGGCCATGTGCTCTTCCGGGCAGCCCTTCTCCTTCTGACTGCTGAGTTTGTAGAGACAGAAGAGGAGTGAGCCAGAGCCACGCAGACCCGCAGGTCGGCTATGGCATCATCTTTCTTTCAGGAGGCTTGTCTGGGAGTGAAGGAGGTGGCTGTGGTGCTTGAGACGTGGAAGGGAGCTGTGGGGTGGCTTCATGGGCAGAGTGCCTGCCCTGGCCTGGGTTGGCCTCCGCAGAGTCTCTGAGCTGCCTG